CAGAGGGGAAAAACACCCCCAGCTGGTATCAACCTTAGCTTGCCATTCCTCACTGTCAGGCAGGGAGGGGAACTGTTTCAATCCAGGAGGAGGCTCCTTGGACAGAAAGCAGCAACCTGCCTTGGAGGTCAGCAATCAGGATGTATCAGTTGTTTAGATAGGCCATAAGATGAGAGGCAAAACCTGTCTTTGAACCATATCTCTACTTCCTGTGTGTACACAGTCTCCCACGCCCTTTTCTTTAAGGTCGTGGCCCTGTTGCATGCACTACCTGAGCCCAACTCATCTGATACAGAGCTTGGAAGGCAAGAGGGGTAAGAATAAACTGAGTGTATCCAGAGTGCTAGTATGCTATGATTTCCTACCTTGTTAGAGATTCTTTAGGCACCTGGGACTTGGGCTTGAGTGAGAGGACCAGCCAGTCTGATGGCTGTGAGCTGGCAACAGCAATTGGATGGCTTTGCAAACACTGATAGTCAGAAACTTGGGCATCTAGGAGGCTTTGCTCTGAGGCTGGGTATCTGTACAGTGATCCTGCATAGACAGATAGGCACCAAAGCAGCTTCAAGGATCTAAGCAAGCATACTTACTAAAGTCAGTGATTCATATCCATACAGAAAGTGTTCTGCTCCTGATTCAGGCCTTTATTATTTTAAACTCTTAATTAAGTCTCTTTGAACCCACAGGTGCAGTCACTTACTGATGCTTATTTATTTTCTTTTATTTGTCACAGGCTTTCATTTACTAAAATATTTTAGGCAGGTGATTGAACTAGAGGTATTTGAGGCGACTTTAATCTAATCTTGGAAACTGTGACCAAATTTGCCACTTTTCTGTTCTGTTTTCTGGACACTAGTATGTGCATAAGCTTGTGGGCAGGTTTCCGACAGGTGACTAGACCACTACCTTTGCCCTTTCAGAGGTCAATTTAAAGCTGATTATGTGTTTATGGCTGCTAAATTATTACTTATGGAATAATATTGGTTTTAATTTTTCATTTTTCAATGAGTTGAAGTTTAAAAGTCAAATGGCATATTAAAAAATAGAAAAATTTCTGATATATGAGAAGTGAATGAAATATTTAGGATTCACATATTTTTTTCATGTCTATTTACTGACTAGCCAAATATTTACAAATTTCAAATATTAACACATTGAATATTATGTTCACTTGCATATGTATCAGTCATACAGCTGTTTTAACCACTCTCTTCCAAATCCACTGTTGATATGCTGATTTTTTCTTTGCTTTAATTTCTGTGAAGTAATTTCACAATACTTGAGTTGTTAAGTTATGCTTACTAAGTTATTTCACTGTTAGTTAAGCTGTTTCATTTTATCATTTCTTAAAGCACAATCTAGAATCCAGGTAGTTATACAAATCACAGAATTTCAGTCATTGTGTTCTTTCTGTAACAATGAATGATTTTTATGGTTCTGGGTTTGTTTAGTTTTTTGTGGGGTTTGTTTGCTTGTTTTAGATTTTTTTTTTTTAATCCAAAGTAGAATAACTTGGAGGAATTTAAAGGATATCTAATGGAATAAAGCTTGTCATAGTGGCATAAGAAGGATAGGAGGCAACTGTAGCAAATGTTCATTCTGGTTTTGGCATAGGAAATTTCAGTCCCTCTCTCCTATTTGCAGGCCAATGTCCTCATTTCTCTGAGTGTGCAGAGGAAACTCTATTGTAGTTGTTTTGTTTTATTTTCTTAAATATGTCTGGGACCTAAATAAAATAAAGCATTTTTTTGTCAAAATACTTCAATGTTTTCACAGAAATTATTGGAAAAATCTCAAATGGTTTTCATAATTTTGGGGGAAGGGAGGTAGAGTAAGCTAAAAAGCTGCAAAACTAGTTGTGTGCTAGAACATAAATACACATAAAGTAAAAAAATTCTCTAGTTTTTAGATTAAATTTTACTGTCAACTTTAAAAGCATTTAATGCATCTCCTGCTTTTATTTTATAATTTAGCTAGGAAAGTTTGTAACTGTTCATTTTACTCTGACCTCCACTTGGAGGGAGTGCTATGCAGATTTTCTGAAAGCTGTGATTTTCTGCTTATAATTAAAATGTCCCCTGGTGGTCATATTCAGAGTCTAAATTCAGCTTAAGTCAAGTGTTCTTTATTTTTCTTCTATAGGTGATTGCAGGTATCTAACCAGAAGGGAACAGTAGATGCTGGGGCTTATGGGAACTTTAAATGGCTAAAAATAATGGCTTACACTGAAATGTATTTAGATACATCCTGGTCTTAAAATTTTTTTGAGACATGACAAGTTGTGAGACCTTGAGAGTACTATGCCATAGGTGAGGTACCAAGATCTCTCCCTCCCTTCAGCCGCAGGACTCCCCTAATAATGCTGGAAGTTAAAATGAATCATTTATGAGCATCAGTAGACACATGGGTGGGGCCTCTTTGTAAGCTGGTATTTTGTTGATGCAATATGTGTGACAGCCTTTTAGTTCTGAATATAAATGTTACTGAGAGGAAATTGGGTTGGTTCACAGAGGAGATCAGCCAGACCTTGCAGTGCATCTTGCTGAGGAGCAGGTACTTCCACCAGTACTGTGCTTCAGATACTAGTACATGTAGAAGAAAAATGGAAGGTGAGTCTCTTGAAACTTTACTATCACTTAACTCAGAACTGAATGTGGAAATAATTAAACAGTCAGATTTAAGGACAAAAAAAATTTGTACATATTGTTGTGTAGAATCAAGTCTAGAGATTACTTCTATGGTTTAGATTTTATTTGTGGACTTAGTGAGAAAGAAAAAAAAACTTCTGTAAATAACATTTCCTTTTATAACAGAAAAAGAAAGCTCTGGAGAAGAACTGGTCATACAACAGCCAATTCTGAGAATAAGGAAAAACATGGAAAATAATACGTTTTATTTCCAATATAAACTACAAAGTACTGGTTTTCACTATTCTCGTGCTAGGAGCAATTATTTTATAATGGATACCTGAAGTCTTTTCTCTGGAATGAAGGAAAAATGTGAATTGATAGGGAAAAGCCAGTGACTAGTATTGGAGGTCAGGTTTCTACCAGAAAGAGAACACCAGTAAGAGATGTAAAATTGATTACCCTTTAGTATTTTCTCTGAGCTGCCTTTGCAATTGTTAGCTCCTTTGTGATCCAGTTGTGATAATTAATTCTGATAAGCAAACTGTGGGCTGACTTTAGAAACTTCCCTGGGAAACATGTAATATTGCAACTCCCTGATGTTCCAGTTCAGCTGGATTCATGGGTGGAAGAAGTGTAGTTGTCTTGATTTATAAATGCTTCCAGAGGATGGGTGAGGATCTGTCAGGTTCTTTCAGTGTTTTTGACCACAGGAACTTGTCACGTGTGCTATAAGTGCTTCTAATCCTTTCTGTTAAAGCAGAACACTTCGCATTAAGGTTGACAGCTCTTGTTATGATACGAGGTTTTCAGTTCAATTTTGTTACTCTTTCTTGTCAGCAGGTATGATGCATTCATGAGCAATAGTGATGTAATGCGTTGCCATAATTTTTGGTTGTTCTTGATAATGTGCATGTTTTTAATGTGGGTAACTCCCAGGCCTGCATTTATCTGCTGATCTTTGCTGAAAGACCTGAATGACCAACTCATTACCAGCTGTAAATAGTTAGATGAAAAATGAAATTATTTTAGTTCTAAGAAACAAATGAGAAAAGGCTGTTCATTTGTTTCATTTTTTGCTTGTTTTGTTTGGGTTGGGTTTTTTTCCTACCTACTCTTCCCTTGAAATTAATTTGAATTATGATTTACTTCAGAATGTGATCCTGGGAAACTCCACTGGTTTGTGCTAAAGGTGTCCCAGTCCCATGGGCTTACCTATGAGTCTCCTTTTATGTGGATACACCCTTGGTTCTGGATGGGAAAAATTAGTTTCCCCTAAATGCCAACTCTATTCAACTTAGTGCCAATATAGTTAGAAAGGTTCCATTGTTTGGTTGTTCCACAGGCTTAGCAGGACCAAACTTAGCCCCTTAGAATTAAAATAATATACAAGACTTTGTAGTTCAGTAAGCACAATTGGCAAAACTGCTGAGAATCTGTGGCTTCCATTGTCTTCAGTTAGAGTCAAGCACTTTTAAAAATAAAAAAGTTGTATGCAAATAAGTGAAAATTAGTGTTTCCACCCATCCTTCTGGCACCAGGATCATAATTACACCTATGAAATGACTGATACTCGGGCGAGATGCCTAAGGGGAGATCAACCGATATTTTTGTCAAGCTAATCATAGTACTTGGGATAGATTGTCAGCATTTTTTAAATGTCACAATTTGTGAATATTTCTTTCTCCATTAAGTTCCTTAAAGGTGTCTGCAAACCTTTTAGAACTTTGGGAAATGCAGATCAAGACATTTGCATGCATATTTAACAGTATTTACATTTTTGGGGAGATATTTATTCATAACTTTTTTTTCATAACTCATTTGGAGTACCACTTAAGCTTTCAAATGCCTACATTTGTTATTAAGTCTTTTACTTATTCAATTTACTTTATTATTTTATTACTTGTATGAAAAACAACTCCTAACTAATAGCATGTGTGAAAAGTTTTCTGTCTAGCTGTGTTTAAAAAATAACTGTCTGTAGACAGCATGTTGTAATGTGGAGAGAATATTGCAAGGCAAAATCAATTTTTCAAGTAGAGATACTGGTATAATCCCTTGGCATCAGGTATTTATAAAGCAAGAAGGCCCTTTATAAAACATGTGAAGCTTTTAGCACAGCTTTGTAAATCAAAGTGTTATACAAGTTTCCACCTGCATACTAGGAAAGTGGAGAACTTGTAAGGATACTTTTATGTATATATGTTTCAATCTCAGTTTTTCTGAATTCTGAGCAAACTCCTGAATTAATTTTTAAAAACAATTGTCTCTACCTTTCATCATTATCTCCTCTTTCATGTAATCTTGACCTCAGCCAACCATGGGGACTCAATTAGCTGGTTTTCCTTTTGTGTTCCTCTCTCCATCTTGCAGTCATTGAGCTGGGAGAAGTTGACCTGAACTGTCCTTCCAACTGTCAAATTCATAATACCCATTTCTTCGGAACTGACAGACAGATAATAAGGAGAGGGCAAGCCTTCAGCTTTTATGCTCGCTTCCAAAATCGGGAATGGGATGACTCTGTGGACCAGGCCGTTTTCACCGTGGAGACAGGTAGTCACTCCCAAACTCTGTGTAGTCTTTCCCAGTCCTTGGCTGATAAGTAATATTTCCCATAGTTTTCAGTGACAAATAGTATCTACTCATTCATCTTCTATGTGAACAGACTACCTTCCCCTAATTCAGGCAGTTCTGATTATTTGTAAAGTTTTCTCACTCTGTTTAAGAAGTGACAAGTGAAAAAGAAATCCACCCTTGGGAGTTTTGCATTGCAAACGATGGCTAGGTAAATTACTTGCCTTTTACACATGGTTTGTTTAGTCTGATTGAAGTTCTATTGATTTTTCTGAAAAGGCCTCAGACCCTGTGAATCAAATGAGACGAAATGTACCTTCCCAATGGGCAGATGTCTAGATCAAACCTGCTGGAGTGCTTCCTACAAAATTCATCAGCCAAAATGCATCAGCATCAGCGTGTTTCCTCCCTCCAGTGCCTGCATTGGCCGTTATATTCTCAATATGCAAATCACATCTTGTGGTCACACATATCAGCGATGTCTTGGAGATTTTTATGTCCTTTTTAACCCTTGGTGTGCAGGTAAGAACTCTAGTGATGATGAGGTAGTTTTAAGAAAATTGCTAGTGATGAGTAAAAATGTTGAACCTGTTTGTTGTTTTAGCTGGAAAGTAAGGAATGAAGTTATAGAAATAACGAGAAACAGGAAGGGATTTTGTTTTGTTATTCTTTATATTTTTCTGCAAGTTTAAGACTGTCTCAAGCCAGTGTTTTGATCTGGTTTCTTAATAGTAGTGCGAATGTAGTGTAATTTTTTTCCCCTACTTTTACAGTGGCTTGACAGGACAAGAAGCAATAGGCATAAACTGAAATACAGGATGTTTCCTCAGAGCAACAGGAAACACTTTTTTTTTTGCTGTGAGGGTGTCTGAGCACTGCCACAGGTGGCCCAGAGAGGATGTTGGAGATATTCAACAGCTGTCTAGACGTGATCTTGGGCAATCAGCCTCAAGTCTCCCTGCTTGAGCAGGAGGGTTGGACCAGGCAATCTCCAGAGGTCCCTTCTCACCTCAACCATTCTGTGATTCTGTGAATTCTGTGTTTTGACCATGAAATAATATTAATACAAATACAAATGGAATTCTGTAGCTCTGGTTCCAGTAGCAAGCAATTCTGAAGTCTGTAGGAACTTGCCAAAATCGTTACATGGCAAATATTCACATTATCTGTGCCTTTGATTTGATCAAAATCAGATACCCAACTCTAAGTGCACGGTGTTTGACTCCTGGAGCAGCTTAGTGTGATGATAAATTGCAAGTTCTGTAGTTCAGGTGTACTGCATCAGGGATAGACTTAATAAAGATAGTATCTAGCTGTAAGTAGAAATGAATTGTCTGTGAATGTTTAAAGAGCCTTTACCCTTGAACATGTTTAAAAGTATAAACCAAAAATAGGTAGGAAAAGAAAGACAGATCCAGTGAAACAGAAGATACGGAAGTGCTAGAAACATACGTACTGTCTGACTAATAGCTCTGCATCTTTTCTAGATGACCCTGTATATATGGACAATCAGGCCCACAGAGAAGAATATGTTCTGAATGAACATGGGATACTGTATGAAGGAGTTCACAAACATATTACCTCTCGGCCATGGCACTACGGACAGGTACTTTTTGAAGACTTGTTCAGAAGTATATGTCATCCATATATGGATAAATGAAGTGTTATCCATGTTTTTTCAGAAATGCTGGCTATGTTATGGAATATAAAGGGTTTTTAGGACCAGTCCAGACTATGCATGCATGAAACAAAATGTTTGAGAATCTCTCACTGTAGCCCAAACAACCAGAAGGAAGTTTTCTGTAGTGAAATTAAGAAAACTGCAAATGTACTTGAGAAAAATGAAACAGAATATTCTACTTCTGAAGGAAAACTATTCCATTGGCCAAACGTAAGCAAAAATTATATGTTTTTCCCTTTGGTTTTCCTTCAGGCAGATAGACAGAACCATGCATGTGGCTAGAAGCTGTGCTTGATTTAAAAAAAACAAGGCGAGAGGGCAGCTCATATATGTGAAGAAGACTGGACTATTGACGAGAAAGGAACTTTATCAATATCAGAATACCATGATGCCTGTGTTAACTTCTCTTTTCTCAGTTTGAAGATGGGATTCTGGATATCTGCTTGAAGATTCTAGACATGGGTGCGAGTTACCATCATGGCTCTGACCGCGACCATTGTTGGCGCAATGATCCTGTGCATGTCAGCATGGTGGTAAATCACATGGTAAGACCTCTACTGGTGTGTAACCTCCAAAAAAATCGGGCCAGACTTCATTATATTATAGAAGGACAAATTGCACTGTAATCTGACACACTATGAGGAGCAGGGAAGATACTTTCTGTGCTCATATTCACAGAAAAAACTAACTTATAACACTAATCTGATGATTTTGTGATATGCTTAAGGTGTGAAGACATGGTCAGCTATTTTAAAAGGTTGTTTTTCTTTTTTCTTTCTAGATAAGCAGCCATACCACTAGCAGTATCATGAAGATTCCAGAAAACAATGATTACCTGAAAGGAACAAAACCATTTTCCTGGAATGGAAGCATCCCTATTCTTCAGCAGTGGTACAATGGCAGATGCAGGCCAGTCAGATATGGGTACTGTGGGTCTCTTGCTTCAGTAATGTGCACAGGTATGATATTTCAGTCTGCCCTAACCTAGTTATCCAAAAAGGAGGAGAGAAATCAAGGATCAAAAAGCTCTGACCTTAAAAACTACTGGAAGAATTTTACTCATAAGCATTTTACTAGAAAAGAAATGGAGTATTTTTCTTTTATTATGATATGACATGGCAACACAGTGTTTATTATCAATCCATTGCTTTCCTATACAGCATGAAGATCAAGAAGAAAAAACATTACTGTCTTTTCTGTGACCTTTAAACTTTGATAGCTTCTGTGACCAGGCAGCTGTCAAAACTGCAACTTTTATTAAAACACAGAGCAAGTGCAGCATCGTGAAGCCAATATTTATCCTTGGGGTGAGGTTCGAAGGATGAGAAAAAGCACTAAGTTATGAACAGGTAGAAGACCTCTAGCATTGTCTCCTCCAAAACATAAAAACAGCAGGGTGCTATCTTCTTATACTGCAAAGGATAATATGATAGTGAACTAAACTCTACAAACAAAAAATTTGAATTCCAGCTTCATACCATTTATTTACTGAAACTGCTTCTACATTGAGAAAATTGAATTAATACTCCATAGATGAACCTATATGTACTACACTGTTTACAAGACAATTACAAGTACAATACAACAAGTATTTGGTTAATGAAAGATCAGGATCATTATTTCTGAATTTAGAACAGATCTGGTTTTTGGTTTTGTTTTTTGTTTGTTTGTTTTTAAAATGGAATAGTAACAAGCCATGCCTTTCTGCTAGACTCTTTTCAGACTACTTTTCTACCTCTAAAAAGAAGTTTTGAAGAAAGAACCACTGCATCCCAAATATTGCCTCCTATTCATTATATTTATGTAATTGTAAAGTAGAGTATAGGAGAATTATTTATAAAATAAGTGAAGGATTTGCTTGATTGATTATGATTTGTAATGACTCATGAATATTTTTTCCTTACAGTGATGAGATGTTTGGGAATTCCAAGCCGTGTTGTCACAAACTTCTGTTTCCCGTGCTCGATTGAGAATCCCCTTGGTATCAATGAGATTTTTGACTGTACTGGGAAAATCCTGTGTGGTAAAGACAAGCTATGGTAAATAAGCAATAAACAAGCTCCTTTGGTATTGTCAAAATTAAATTACAGAAAGACTAGTGTAAATTTAGCAGATCAGTGTATCTCTTTCCTTGGTGTTCTGTTTCCTAATAAAGTATTTCCAAAAAATGAAACTACTGAAGAGGCATTCTGCTTAACCTACATTTTCAAAAAAAGAAAAAAGAACACCACCACATTTGTGAGAATTTATGCTACCTGTTTATCCTTCTCAGATGAAAGAATAAGGCCATCAATCTTATTAACTGTAAAAAGGAGAAACATGAAACGCAAGGGAAAATTTATCACAAATTAGGACTATTATTTTCAGTCATAATCACCTGGTTGATAATTATGTTGTCTTCCAGAGGTTCCTTATCATGAATTGCTCCCTTCTTGTAAACCTTTTAATTCATGTTCATATTACTATGACATTATCACCCATCATAGCAGAATTTTGTGTTTTCACCCTTGGCCTGTATGTTCATAGTTTCACTGCACCAGAATTTTGTTTATATCCAAGTCTCATCTGTGAGAGCTTTTAATGACTTTTCTGCCCTTTCACGTGTCAAAAAGATGGGGTCAAACTGAAATACTAAGGGAATGAGGATCTTATTTTAGTACAAAAGTCTTAAGGTTTTAGTCTTTATTAAGCCATTAAAAAGAAGACTAAGACAATATTCCATTTTACTCTAAAGAACTAGGAGAAAAATGTTAGGAAAATAAACTACTTAGACAAAAGAACTGTGAGGGCACATTATCAGCTGAAAAGGAGAGCTTTAAGAAGAATACTTTGCAATCAGGTCTGCAGGGTGGTGGAACAAATTTCCAGTCTGAGTGATATAAAGCAAACCAAACACCCCCTGTCCCCAAACATCATTAACAGTGTTAAGATGCAGAAAGTTTTCAGTTGATTAAAAGGTTATCTCTGACATTGTTTTCCTCCATCGTTAGGCATTGAACTTGATGATTCAAGACACGTATTTAATCCTATATTCCTGCATCCTATAGGCGATACCACTGCTGGAATGAATCTTGGATGGCTCGCAGAGACCTAAATCAATGCTGTGGTGACTGGCAGTGTCTGGATCCAACACCTTTGGAAACGGGCAGAGGTAACTAATTGCTATAACTGTAATTGTTTTCTTCAGCTTATATTGTTGAGTTTCTTTACTACTCAGGTTGCAGCCTACTATAAAATTTTTGTTTTCTCGCTTAGGTTTAGCTTGCAGTGGTCCTACATGGGTTCGAAGCATCAAGGAAGGGGAACTGGACTTAGACTATGATGGCCATCATATGTTTTCTCGAGTAAATTCTAACTATGTTGGCTGGCTTTCCCAAAACAATGCCAAAAAAACAAAATTTTTCTGCGATGCTTGGCCATGTGGACAACATCTAATCACCAAGTGTGTTGGCAGTGAGCAATTTGAAGATATCACTGGGGCTTACAAGTATGAACTAGGTAAGATGAAAAGTCATCAAATGTGTTAGAGCAAATTTTAATTAATAATCATATAAAATAATTGATGTAATCTGTCCTGTGTTTAAAGTAGTAGAACAATCTGAAGCTGTCAATATTTGAGAAAGAGAAAGTTGCCTTTCTGTTCAAAGATCTTGATTCTTAAACTTCTAAATATATTTAGATGATTCAAACATAGCACATAGTAATCACATCGATTTAGGATAGGATAGGGTAGGATAGGGTAGGATAGGATAGGATAGGATATTTCAGTTGGAAAGGACCTAGAACGACCATGTACTCCAACCGCTTGACCATTTCAGGTCTGATCAAAAGTTAAAGCATGTTATTAAGGGCATTGTCCAAAGACCTCTTTTTAAGGCACTGACAAGCATGGGACATCGGCCACCTCTCTAGGAAGCCTATTCCATTGTTCGAACTGCCTCTTGGTAAAGAAATGCTTCCTAATGTCAAGTATAAACCTCTCTGACACTGCTTTGGACCGTTCCCATGCATTCTATCACTGGATACCAGGGAGAGGAGGTCAGCACCTACCTCTCCACTGCCCCTCCTAAGGAAGCTGTAGACAGCAATGAAGTCACCCCTCAGCCTTAACTCCAAGGTGGACAAACCCAATGTCCGTAGCCGCTCCTCACAGGACAAGCCTTCCACCTCTTTTATTACCGCTACTCATATGTACATGTTTTAGTCTCACCTGTACAGTAGACTAAAATATTAGCAGACTTTCGATAATCTAAAACCCCCTAAATTCTTTTAAACAGAGGATTAACTTCTAACTTGCTTTTTCATGTACCACTTCTGTCAGAAAAGACACTTACTTACAAAATTCATGTATTATTAGGATATTCTGCTGTTCTTACTTTGAGTTACTGATTACTGATTTTCATCTTTCAGTAGTAGTGAGGAGTTCAACCAGCAGAAATGCCTAAAGGAATGAAGAGAGGATTACAGTTGATTGTAAAATTGGAAGCTCTGTTGGTTTTTTGTTTGGTTTGGTTTTTTTTTGGGGGGGGTGGGTTTTTTGTGTTTTGTTTTGTTTTTTAGCAGGAACAAAAAAGAAAACAGTTGATAATTTCTTTCTTTGGATGGTGTGTTTTGCCTTTTGAGAGACGTGGTAGCATTTAAGATTCACCCTAACGCTTATAGCATTATATTTTGAGTTCTGCACTGACTATACATTTTGAGATTTACGTGACCATTTTTAAATCTAACTAATAAAAGTTTAAAATAAGTTTTTGAATGTTTTTCTGAGATATTTATTCTCTTCTATGTATTCAGACTACCATATCTTGTGTTTTTTTATCTGGTGGATTTGTTCTATGCCAAGCTAGTGCATTAGATTTCAGGAAAGAGAAGGAAGGAATTTAATTATAATAATTATGTAGGTAGATATGACGACTTCTGTTTCCAGCAGATTCATTATCATGTATCTTCCTCAACAGGTTCTGTGAAAAACAAAGAAGCCTATTACCGGGCCTACAGAAGGATTCATCCAGGGTACTGCAATGCTTCCAACTGTCATATTGAGAGAGAGTTATCATCTCTGAAAAACCCATTTTTGAGTGACTCTGGTATTAACATGAGGCTAAAAATGGCTAACTGCCCAATGTATGGTGAAGATGTCCAACTGCACTGGCTGCTTGAAAATTTGCGTAATGAGAACAAAAACCTAAAGTTTAATTTGTGTGCACAAATAATAACCTATAGTGGTTGCCCAATGGATCAGTTTTGGAAAGACAGTGTGAACGTCATGTTGGGTCCAAGGGAAGGTAAGAAGGTGAATTTGTCTAATGCCCTTCTGCCCAGAGATCTCAGGAGATAACTTTGCTTTTTTGGATTAGTGGAGACTTCCTAATAGTGATGAGAAGTGAGATGAATGGAGTAATTGACAGCTGAATTCACTTTAGGATGATCACTCAAAAATCAACACAGTGTTAATACTACCTGTATAGTGGCAGGTAATTTGTAGTCTTTGCTTAATTTCTCAAGGTTTAGAGATTCTGATGATCATTTAAAAACTAGTTTTGTTAAAAGTTCAATTCTGGATTCTCTATCCAATACAAAGATAAAGCTTCAGCTGTTTATCAGAAAAGCAATTTATTTCCTTTGGCCAGGAGATATTAGCCAGTATAAAAATACTTGGTTTTAGCTCTAAAGTCATTATTTCAATTATATGAATATTATATTATATTTCAATTACCATATGCTGGGAAGTGCAAAGGTGTATCAGATCTTAAACACTTGGTTAAATGGTTAATATCTTTTTTCTGAAGACAAGTGATCCCATTAATTAAAACATATCATTATGATATGATATCACAAAATTTTATACCTGACATTCACATTCTGTTTTACCAAGCTTTAATTTAATGTGTCCCTGCCCATGGCAGGGGAGTTGGACAAGATGATGTTTAAGATCTCTTCCAACCTAAACCATTCTGTGATTCTATGATTAATTTATCTATGTTTGAATTATTGCTTCAAGAATTACATTGCAATGAAAGTTTCCAAATTTTGAAGAATAATAATAACCTTTTTGTAAATGCGTGGATATGGTTATATTAACTGAAAGGTGTGAAGCTGGTTGTTGAAGGTAGCTATGTATCACCCTAAGCCAGGAAAAATCATATCTGTTTTCAAAGATTTTGTGATAACTTAGTATTGTCTTAAGCCATTGCAACTGCCCGTTAAACTTTAGGAAGGAAAGTGGAAATATTAGCCAAAAAATCAGAAAATATAATTAAATTTGTTTTTCAGTGAAAAAAATTCCACTGTGTATATCATATAGTCAATATGGACCTTATCTCTGCGATCACAACATTATGAAAGTAGTTGCTGTCTCAGATCCAGAGTGTGGAGAAGTTCTGATGGTGAGCAGGGATATTGTGATCAACAGGCCACCTGTTATTGTAAAGGTAAAGAATGTTGATTATAGGATTTGTGATCTAAAGAACAGACTTTGGGACTGTTATTTGCCACTTCCTAGGTACAATGTCGATAACTTGAAATTCAATTCTCCTTTCCTTTCTTTTCCCTTTCCTTTCTTT